GCATCCTCTTTATGTCCTTTTGCCATAAAAATATGTGAAATGGAGCTTGAGTGATGGGTTAAAATATTACTGGTTGAAAAATAAGATGTGTTGGAAGAGAGATGTGTTTTTTACTCACCTATCAATCCCTGGAGGACAATAAGGCTAGGATTTCAGAGACAAGACTAAACATAAAGAAACTTCAGCACAAACCCATGCTAGTAGGACTGACAAGTTATAAGGCTGTTACAGTTGAAACCGATATGAACAATCTTGCCCCAGATTTTTGCATCTTGAGATGTCACTGCAGGGCAGAGTAAAAGCTGTTCAGCAGCCTAGGCTTTACTTCAACCTGCTTAGCAAGCGAAAAAGCCACCAGGCAAATGTAGCATACATTAGCATGTGTAACCTGGCCCCTAAATCCTACTCTGAGTAATGTTTATGTTGAATAGTGCTTATGTTGAGCTGCATCGTGGAGAGGAGAAGGGTCTGGTCCACTGCTGCTCTGTGAGGATGGAGTTGGGCTGAGAGGTGGTGGCAAGCAAGAAGGTCGAGATTCTGACCCTGCTTTACAGGTTTCTCCTACCAAAGCTCTCCTGGTCCTTGCAAAAAAGCAGAGCACGGGTGGCAGTGCTTTGGGCTGCATTCTGAGTACTGATACTCCTTTTGGGGCTATTGACAGCTGAGACCAAGTTCCCTTCTGAGGGTTGTGACTCCAGGCTGAGCCCATTAATTTCTTGCAGCAGGGAGCTGTAGCTTGAGAGCGGCCAGAGGGGATGAGCTGTTTTGAGTCAAGGATGTAGCTCTGTTTCTGCAGCCTTGGCTGAAGGAGTGAAAAATGAGTTACACAGCAATGGCAAAAAGTGGCCATTAATTTTGGTAGGTGACATAACCCCTGGGGTCTTCCTTGCCTGAGAGATTTGAATTACAGAAATAGAATATCCAGAATTGGAAGGAACCCACAAGGATCTTGGAGTCCAACTGCTGTTGGCCTATCAAAAGCTTTGTTAAAATCCCAAAATACCCCCCACCCATTGCCTTCCCTTTGTTGCTGTAAAAGGAAATTAAGTCAGTACAGCATGAATTACATTTCTGTGGAAGCAAGATTCTGCAGTGTGAATTCTTTTGAAATCAGTTACATTTATTCTAAACTGTCAACCCATCAATCCATGTGCTATAATGCTTGGGAGAGTAGCACATCTTTTATATGTAGCCATGGATCCTGCTTTAAGCTCAAGACTTAGTTCAGGCACAGCTCAAAATGGAGGGGAGCCCTGGTTGTATGTAAAATTGCTTCTTATGCTCCTTTAAAAACTCACCCAGAGCTGGGAGTAGATGGGTGCTAATGATCCTTCTGCCTTTTGTTTGTAGCCATCTTACCACAAATGGTCACCTGTCTTTTGTAGTAGTAATGTTGCTGGTTAGGAAACAGAAGCTGTACTGGGAAATACCTATTCCTGGACTTCTGCCAGAAGTGTCCCTAACCATCTCTACTAGCATGTGCTGTGGGTCTGACCTATTGATCCTGGTTTATCACTCGGAGGTTTTTTTGAGCTGATTTGCAGAGGATTCAAGCCCCAGCTTCAGTCCTAATTGTGGGTGCTCCTGAAAATCAGCCTCCAAGCCTATCCAAACTACACACCCAGAGGCAGATGCTCCTTCTGGAAAAGCTGCCTGAGTGAGGTCTTTCCCATAGACACCTTGCCCATGAGCAGAATGGCAAGAACTGAAGCCGAGGAGCTCATGACTACCTCGCTGAGGCCCCAGAGTGAGCTCACCCACCTCTTTCCCTGCTTTTCTTAGTGCCATCATGCTGTACAAGCCCTCAGGAGTCTCCTCACTCAGCTCTAAAGAAGGCTGTTGTAGTCAAGTTTGAGAGCCAACATTAAGTCTTGAAGATCGCCTGGAGCACATGAAACGTGCAGAATGAAATGAGGCCCCAGTTGTCACCTGATTAGTGGTCCTTGGAGAACAAGCCTGTACGTATGTGCCAGACAGCCCTGTGAGGAACATGTCAGTGATCATGAGGAGGTAGTTGTTCAGCACAGACTACTTAGGTGTTGAAATCATTTCTAAGCACCCTAGTGAATGCCTTGGGATTTCATAATTTCATACAAGCCTGGGATGAGGTGAGACGTCCAACACTGAGGCTGCTCAAACCAGACCTTCCCAAACTACAGCCCTCTAAAGATGACTTTGCATCAAGATTTAAGTCTTTTCTTACACAAGGGCTGGCCGGAGCTTATGGCGTTCCAAAGTGGCCGCACCACTTTGGGGTGGTCATGGCTCGTGGCTGCTGTTGGTACCGTCACAACAGCACCAGCCCTGATGCTGTTCAAGAGGAGGGTGTGTTGGTTCATCAGTTATTTTGTGTTGATGATCTGCAGGGGCTCCTCAGGATGCAGGTACAAACAGATACCACAGAGTGCTCCAGAATCCATCTGCACCCCTGTGATTAAAAGAAAACCAGCAGTAAGTGGGGAAAAGGAACATCCTTCCGAAGTCAGAGCATGTGGGTAATGCAAGCATGACACAAACACCCTCCCACGGGCTGCAGCTCCTACAAGAAGAGCAAGTAGCTGCTGAGCACCAGCACGTCAGTACAAGAGGGAGATAGTTTAAGTGCTGACACAGATTTGGCTGACAAACATGGTGCTGGCACATTGTCTCCTTTGAAACAGCAAACACACTGCTGCAAAATCCCTCTGTGGTGCTGTGTGCGTCCCTGTGTGCTGTGTTCCTAGCTGCCAGGGACTTCACCCTGTGCAGCACTGCAGTTCCTGCGCAATGGCTGGACAAGTTGTCAAGTCTCAGAGGGAAAAGTTGAGTCCCCTGCCTGCTTTGAAACAGCTGGCTCATGTAATGCTTGTCCTACTCCTTCTCAGCCCTAAAAGAACCCCAAACCAAGCAGGATGCAAACTGCAGTGAATGTTTTCATTGAGTGCTGTCCAAAAAAACAAGTATTTTTGAAGTTTATTCCAGTTAAAATGGCTATCTTGTGATTCCAGGTGACCTGGCAATGTCCATGGGGCAGAGGTCTTTGGTGATGCTGGCATAGACCCTTTCAGAGCAGAGGGCTGGGCAATAGACTCCTAAATTAATCTGTTTTGTTGTTTTCTCCACCACCACTCCCGATGTTTCTTAAAACCACATAAATAATGGGATTATTCCTTGCAGTTCCAGGAGCAGAGATATTTTGTCCTGACCTGCAGCTTCCTGCCTGCCCTGACAGAAGGCTGCTTTCCTGCTTCCATCTCTCTACAGCCAAGGAGTAGCTTATCTCAGAAGATGGAATTGTGCTGCAGGAATGGGGCTAGGTTTTGGTAGGGTGAGGAGGACACACACATATGTGAGCGAATTGAATTTGCCGGTCTGGCCACTTGAGTCCTGGGCTGGTTTTATGTCCAGGAGTTACTCAGGCGAAAACAAGCCAAAACAGGCTCAGGAGAGACCTTAGGGCAGCTTCCAATACCTAAAGGGGCCAACAAGACATCTGGAGAGGGACTTTTGACAAGGGCCTGTAGGGACAGAACAAGGGCTTTAACCTGCCAGAGGTGAGATTGAGATGAGATCTTAGGCAGAAGTTCTTCCCTGTGAGGGTGTTGAGGCCCTGGCACAGGGTGCCCAGAGAGGCTGTGGCTGTCCCATCTCTGGCAGTGTTCAAGGCCAGGCTGGACGGGGCTTGGAGCAGCTTGGTCCAGTGGAAGGTGTCCCTGCCCGTGGGAGGGGTTGGAACTGGATGGGCTTTGAGGTCACTTCCAACCCGAACCATTCTATGATTCTATGACATAAAATGACTGGTCCACTTTCCACCTCTCACGGGCTCTTGTCCACAGTTGTATGTGCCAGCTGCAACTCACATCCCACATCTCTTGCTGCCTGCAGCAGACAGTGTGATGCAGTGCTTTGGGAGAAACTGTGCTTCCCTGCTGGGGCTTGTCCAGCCTGCAAACAAGGTGGAAGGCTTAGCAAGCTGGGATGCATTTACGTGTCCCCATGGTACACCCTTCCTGCAATCCCATCTGCAGATAAAACCACATCCCAAAGTGGTTACTCCATGCACCAGGACATGCTTTGCAGGCCGCTCCAGCATGGGTGGCTGATGGTGCCATTGGGGTCCCTGCCCTTGCTGCCTTTTGGGGCGTCTTTGCTGCTCTAACTCCACTCCCAGGACCATAAGATAATTAAGGGGTTGGAGCAGCTGTCATGTAAGAAGAGGCTGACAGAGATGGGACTGTTTAGCTTGAAAAAAATGAAGGCTTAGGCGGGTTCTTGTCCATGGCTGGTGGGGGGTGAAGAAGGCAGCAGCAGATGCTCCTCAATGGTGCCCAGTGAAAGACCAAGTGCAAAGTAAAGCTGAAATACAGAGATTAGACTTGAACTTCAGAGAAGCTTCCTCTGTGAGGGTGGTTAAGCACTGGCAGGTTGGCCAGAGAAGTTCAGGCATCTCCACCCTTGGAGATACTCAAAATCCAACCAGAGGTGGTCCCAGGCTCTAGCTGACCCTGCTTTCAGCAGCAGGGAGTAGATGAGAGATGAGCATTTCCAAAGGTGCCTACCCACCTTAACTATTTTCTGTGAGTCTTTGATCTGTGTGTGCCTCAGTGATGAGATGAGCACCAACAGGTGCCAGATCTTTATGGAAGGGGTTTTGAAAACCCAGTTCAGCTGTGTGAGGTCTGTCCCCAGTTCACTGGATCCCTGCTTGGGCTTGGGTGCTGTGGTGTTTTCCCACCACAGGTACAGAAGACAGAAGAAACCAGGGCTGCCTGTGCCAAGCATCCCAACCAATTAGCCTCAGTGTAGCCACCTAGTGTCACCTGGGGTGGTGTTTCCAATGCCCAGCACCCAAATTTTGGCAACACTTGGCTGGGCTGTGGGGGCAGGGATGCACCCGGGTGATGTCAGAAATCAGTTATACCCCATGAGACCCACCACCACCCTCAAGCCTGCTGCACTGACCCCCAGCTTCCCCTGCCCCTGGGCAGTGGGGGCAAAGAAACACCTGCACAACAATGCCGTCACTCATTAAAGGTTTGGTTTATTTCTGGTTTAAATCAAAATTAGTTGCTCTCTGTAATTACATTATATATAGATTTATAGAGACATTATAGAAAAGAATTTTTTGCTTTTTTTCTGCAAAAATCTGTAAATAAAAAATAAACAATCAAACAAAAACAAAAGGTCGCAGCTTGTGACTGTGGGTCTGGCTATCCTTCTGCTCCTCCTGCCCCTGCCCTCCATGGCACTTCCCAGCAGACCAGGAAAGGCTCTGGGCTGGGGCCCCATCTCACTAACATTCCCCACAGCCACAGCCAGGGAGGGACAGGAGCATGTGGAGCTGGAAAGAAGAAACGCCAGAAGAATATATTAATATCTCGTATCTCATTTTATTGAAGTCTGGGGACTCCGAGTGGCAAAGGGCAGCAGTCCCCATGGCCCAGGCAAAACAAACAGCATGGTTTCCCCAAAGTGCAGCTCCAGAAATCTGGTAGTCTCCATGCTGCTTCAAAAGCCAACAAGGGGGGCAGGACAGGTGGGTGCCCGGTGTGGTTTAAATAGCAATCAGAGGGTGGGATGTGCAGCGAGTACTCCCCTGCCATGGGTGCTCCATTAGTGTGTGGCTGCAGCAAGCTGCCATGTGGGTGACACTATGGTGCACTGCCGGGAGCGGAATGGGCCAGGCAGCCCCAGCCTGTGCCAGGCTGGTGCCCAGCAGTGCCTTGGCCCTCAAGGGATGGCAGAGGGGTTGCATGGTGTCTCAGAAAGCTGTGCTGGCCATGCTGGCTGGGGCAAAGATCCGCGGGAGGCTGTCCAGGGTCTCCTCCAGCTGCCGGTGAGCTGATCTGCCATCTTCCCCTGCAAGCACATGCTGTGGTCAGGGAAGCAGGCCCCGGAAGCTCTGTCCTATTCCCATACCCAGCCACCTTCCTTGGCCTTTCCAGGGAAACGTGGCTAATGTCAGGCAGAGCTGAGCCTGCATGCTAAAAGCCCACAGAGTGGAGAGCTCTCTTGTCCTCCTTAGTACACTCTTGGGCAGGTCCCAGCTGGGATCTGGCTCAAAAAGCCCCCAGCGCTCCTGATGGGGATGTTGCACATCCTGTTCTTCAGCTGCCTGCCCTACCCCTGCCCACATGGAGGAGGGATTAAGGATCACCCATGGGCTGCGGGAGAGCCTGGCTTGGGAGAAAGAGGCCAGGGCTTGGGGCTCTGCCAGCTCCAGCATCTCAGACAGCCATGCACATCTGCATACATCTTATAGGCCCCTTCCAGTACCTAAAGGAGCTACAAGAAATCTGAAGAGGGACTTTTGACAAGAGCCTGTAGGGAGAGGACAAGGGGGAATGGCTTTAACCTGACAGAGGGGAGACTGAGATGAGATCTCGGGAGGAAGTTCTTCCCTGTGAGGGTGGTGAGTCCCTGGCACAGGTTGCCCAGAGAAGCTGTGGCTGCCCCATCCCTGGCAGTGTTCGAGGCCAGGTTGGACGGGGCTTGGAGCAACCTGGTCTAGTGGAAGGTGTCCCTGCCCGTCACAGGGGGTTGGAACTGGATGAGCTTTGAGGTCCCTTTGAACCCAAACCAGGCTGTGATTCTATGATTCCCTGGACCAGGGATCCCAAGAGCTTCCCCAGGCACACACAGGGATGCATCCATCCATCCATGCTACAAGCTGGCTGTAGTCAGCACCCCCACCCACAGCAGCCATCCCCAGCAAGATGTGGTGACATGGACAGTCTTCTGGGACATGGGACATGAGGCTTCTACGTGTGCTAGGTGCCACGGGGATGGCCTCTGTGAACAGCCAAGACACACAGAATCCAAACATGACATGGCTGACAGGCTCTAAGACAGAGACATTCGTGAGCAAAGCGGCCAGAGTGGGACAGGGGATGAGGACAGCTCATGTGTCCCAACCTGTGCAGCAGCTGCCGCGACCTGGAGGCCTAGAAACCCACTCAGATGGTTCTCTCAGTGCCATCTAGCAAATAACAAATGAAAACCAGGCTTAGTGCTCCATGGCCACAGCAGCCTGGCCCTCGCTGCCCACTGCCATCTTGCTGTTGCCTGGCAGAACTTGGGGCACAATGAGCCAGGATGCGTGGGGTAGGCAGCAACTAGCCCAAGACACCCTTCTCCCATGGGCTCTGCTGGCACCAGGAGATTCCACTTGGGATAACATGAGTGGGAAGGGAGCAGGGAGGAGCAGCAGGACACTCACCACACAGCATCAGGCTCTGCTTGGCTGCCTCCCGCACAGGCTCCTTGTCAGTTTGGCACAAGTAAACCAGCTGCTCAATGCTTTCCTTGGCCTGCAGGAGAAGGGACAAGGGGTTCAGTGTGTCTGGCAGCAGGGACACAGCAGAGGGGAAGGCAGCACAGGGAGCTGCAGCCCCATGGTGCAGGAAAATCCTGGTCCTGTTCCTTCCCTCCCCACATCCCTGCCTGCCCTGCCCCTGCTTGCTTCTCCAGCATATGTGGGGCAGCCCCAGCTCCTCTTCTCAAGGGAGCTGGTGTGTCTGAAGCCACTGGCCACATGCAATTCCTCTTGCTCCGGAGGATGCAGCTCCGCTGCCTGCTCCCTGCATCACTCTCACCTTCAGGCAGCCCAGCGCTGCACACCCTGCCACGCGCGTCTGCACCTCCTCATCCTCCAGCTGCTCCAGGTAGCACACAAGGGCCTGGGGGGAACATGGGGGTCAGTGCCACCACCCTGCAGAGCCAGGGGTCAGCACCCACCTCATCCCACCTCATCCTTAGCTACTCCAGCACATACCCGTTGTCGGAAGCGGGGGTTCTCTGCCAGGCTACGGAGCTGGGCTGACACGGCGCTCACCACCTTGCTGTTGCCCTCCACAATGAGCAGGCTCAATGCCTTCAGTCCCTCCTTCTTGAGGCGGCCTTCCGGCATGCGCTTCAGGGCACGCAGCACCACGTCCTGGTCGTCCGAGTTGAGGTTCTGTGCCAGCATCACTGTGGGGAACCATGGGCTGAGCTGAGGTGTGGGGAGCCCAGCTGCACTGCCCCTCTGCCACAGGGAACCCAGCTCAGGCAACCCTGCACCCATGCCTGATAGAGCTGACCCCACACAGAGTGCCAACACATGGGGGCACCCAAGCCAAGGTGCTGCAGATCTACAGCAAGCGCCTAGGGTGCTCAGGAAGGCAGCACGGATGTGGGCCATGCACTGGATCAGAACTTGTCCATCCCAAGGATGGCAGAGCCTCTGGGGGATGCCCCAAGGCCACCATGGTGGTACTGCAGGGTGATCCCCTGTGGTGATGCTCCAGCACCCCATAGAATTATGGGGTAGTTCAAGTTGGAAGGGACCTTCAAAGCTCATCTAGCCCAATCCCCCTGCAGTGAGCAGGGATATCCTCAACATCCTCATACCAGGGTCTAGGGAGCATGAGAGGGCACCCACCTTCCTCTGCCAGCTCCATCATGTAGGTGTCAAGCACCAGGGTGCCAAGCGACTCGAAGTGGCTCCAGTACTGGAAGATAGTGACCTGCTCACCCTGGGCACTGCCGGGCCGCCGGGGCAGCCGCCGATTCAGCACATCTTCCACTAGTTTCACACAAACTGCAGGAAAGGGCTGGGCTCAGGATGTGCAGCAGCCATGGCCACCCCTCAGGGCTCCTGGCACACATAGGCCCTCACACATGGTCACTGTGTGGGGCTGGTAACTCCCCAAACACCTCTGTGCTCACCAGCATCAGCCAGGCCAGGGTGCTGCTCATTGATGGGTGCTGCGTACTGCGTGCTGAGCACCTGCAGGAACCGCTCCACAGGGCAGGAGTAGACGTTGGGGGCCTCCACGCAGCAGTCCCAGAGGGGCAGCACACCCTCCTTTCGCGTTGAGAACTGCACCACTGCAGGGACAGGTGCTGTCAAACATCCCAGGACACCACACTACATGCAGCCCCAGTGCGGTCCCCGCGGCTGTGTGGCTTTACCTTCAGTGGCAGAGGCAGCTGTTCCCGCTCGCTCCTCTGTGAGCTGGCACACGATCTCCAGAACCTGCGCCTCCTGCAGCAGCCTGTCCAGGGCGTACATCTCCTGGCACCGCAGGGGACCAAAGGTGCCCAGTTTCTGCAAGGCACAGCCAAAATGGGGACCTCATGGACAGAGCTCACCACATGCTGCAGCAAGACACCCCTCAAAGGGGAACTCACAGCCCACACCAGATCTTCCATCCCCAGCACATCTGCCCCTGTGCTCACCAGCAGCAGGCGGTTGCAGTTGTTGAGGTGAAGCACCAGGGCCTTATCCAGGAACTCATTGCCAGTGCTCAGGGGATCAGTGCTGGCCTCAGAGCCACTGCACATGCTGGTGTCATCGGCACCAGTCTCACCAGCGCTGGGGGCCCTGCTGCTGCGCTGCGTTCTGCCAGCCCTCCTGCAAGCCAGGGAGAGATGGAGGCAGAGATCAGAATGGGAAACCTGGGCCTGGGATGGTCTAAATGTGCTTGGCCACTCAGGCAAAGCTGGGCATCCCCCATCCCAACTGCCCCAGGGCTGCATCCTGCCCTGCGCCGCATCCCAAGACCCTGCTGTGCACCTCTCATCTTGGAGAGGCTCTTCCTCAGAGCCCTCGGAATCCTCCATGTCCGAGGTGTTGAGGAAGCTGAAGCTCTCCAGTGCGTGCTCCACTGTCAGGCTGATGCTGGAGGCCCGGCTGAGGAAGACACCTTGCTTCTGCTGCAGAGGAAGGCATGTCGGGGTCAGATCCTGGGTCGTCAGCCAGACAACCCCACCTTCCGCATCCCCATGCATCACCATCAGGAATCACGGAATCACAGCCCGGTTGAGGTTGGAAGGGACCTTAAAGCTCATCCAGTTCCAACCCCCTGCCACGGACACAGACACCTTCCCCTAGACCAGGTTGCTCCAAGCCCTGTCCAGCCTGGCCTTGAACACTGCCAGGGATGGGGCAGCCACAGCTTCTCTGGGCAACCTGTGCAGGGCCTCAGCACCCTCACAGGGAAGAACTTCTGCCTAAGAGCTCATCTCAGTCTCCCCTCTGTCAGGTTAAAGCCATTCCCCCTTGTCGTTTCCCTACAGCCCCTTGTCCAAAGCCCCTCTGCAGCTTTCTGACAGCAAAATGGCCCTGTTCCCATTATCCTTTGGGATTGCCATCAGAGGTGGTTCCATCGCCCTTGTCTCCAGGCACTGCCAGCCCTGTCCCCAGTCCCCAGGCACTGCCAGCCAGGACGAGCCTGTCCCCGCTTGCCCGGGTGCTGCAGGGAGCTCCTCACCAGCAGCATCTCCTCCAGGTGCTTGAGCTCCCGTTCAAGGGGATGCAGCTCTGGGAACTGCCCCCGATAGTCATCCAGGGCCGAGCCCAGGAGGCTGATGGCCTCCTCCAGACCGGAATCCACCACCTTCCCCCGGGGCACCTCAGGGACACTGGCGGGCAGCGGTGTGGTTGTCACTGGGCTCTCATCCGTGGACGCTTGTGCTGGTGCCATGGGGACACCAGCGCTGCAGCTGCCCCATGCTGGCGCCTGGCTCTGCACTGGCTTGGCCTCGCTGGTGGTGGCCCATGCCACAGAGGCACAAGGCTTGGCCTCAGCACCCCTGTCATGTGCTGGTGCCACCACTGCCACTGAGGCACCAGGGACAGGGTCCACGTCCTGCTCAGCAGTCCCCATGTCCTGTGGGCTGGGTCCGAGCTCCCAGGGGCTCTCTGCAGCCTTGGCCTCCATTGTGGTGTCCCCACTGGCCTCACTGATGTGGCTCAGAGTCCGGGAGTAGGGCACATGGCCATTGGCCACCGCTTCCTTCCTGTGGCTGCCTGGCTCCTCTGGCTGGCTCTCAGCAGTGGGAATGCTGGCCCCAGTGCCAGGCTCAGCCTCTTGCGGCTCCTGGGAGAAGGAAATCTCGATGGCGGGTGCCGAGGCCTGCAGCTCTGGCTGCACTATGGGCTTATGCACAGCGTGGCGGGCACTGCCAGGCAGCTGCGGGCTGGAGGAGTCGTCTGAGGACTCAGAGGAGATGGACCAGGCCGTGCCGTTCTCCAGCTCCTCCTGGCGCCGCAGCATGTTCTGGGGAGGGGGAAAATGGTGTAAGGCAAGACCTTTCTGATCCTCCATCTGCCTTCTCTTCAACCGCGGGCACTCTGGCTCTGCCGGCATGGCTGGATGGCAGACCACGGCTGCCTCTTCCAGCCCCACATCTCACCCTGCATCAGCGGTGACTCCAGCTCCACACACCCAGCCACATACCCTATTGAGCCCTGGGGTGCCAGTGGCTTCCTGACATGGTGAGCAGCTCCAGCATGGCCATGATGGGATGGAACACTTGGAGCCAAGGCCACTACCCATCACGGCTGCAAGGATGGCAACTGCTGCAGTGCCAGCTCATGGTGGACAGCACTGGCATCATGCTAATGTCATGCCAGTGATCACAGAATCACAGCATCAACTAGATTAGAAAAGAGCTGAACCAGTGCCATGCCAACAGCATGTTAGCATCACACAAGCACCATGACAGCATCATGCTGGTGCCATGCCAGCACTGTCACACCAGCACCATTACAGCACACCAATGCCACCAGTGCAGGGACACGGACAAGCCTTCTACTCTCTAGTGCCCAGAGACAGAAGCAGGGCCAGCCTGTGCAGCCCAGGCTCCCCTAACTTGGGGACTGGCTCCCTTGGAACAGCCAGAGCCCATCCTGGTAGGATCAGGTCTCTGGGCATCAGTGAAGGCTGGTGAGTAGGAGATAAGGAGCAACTACAGCTACTGCAGGATGGGCACAGCACTGGCTATGCTACGGGCCAGCTCCAGCCCTCGCACTTACACGGCCCTGCTGCGGCCATCTCCCGAGCTCGCCTGAGGAGACATCGCCGCAGGAGCAGCTTTGAGACAGCTTCTCGAAGAGTGTCTCCTGAAAGATGTCCAGCAAGGACCAACCATGCTTGTCGACCACCCGCCCAGGGCTCTCAGGCTGAGAGAAGAGGAGCTGTGAACACGGAAGGAGCAGGCACTGGTGCCAGGGTGCCCTGGCTGGATCACTAGAGAGGAGCCGCCCACCCCTGCATCACCCACTGGGATATAGCCTGGTCACATCCCCACGCAGACCCCTCCATGGGCACCTCACTGAGCAGCCCTCAGCCCTACACTTACATAGAAAGCCTGTTCCCGCAGGGATGGCGTGTCAGGCGGGCTCTGGTTGTAAGTGGAGAATCTCTTGTTCACTGTGGAGGCCTTGTTGACGGTGCTGGCTGCTGAGGGCTGGTCGTCCTTGTCGAAGGGGCTGAGGAGGAGATCAGGGAGGTGAGGGTTGTGTGCCATCCTTGGTGAGGCTGCTCTACAGCAAGCAGTCCTCCAGGACCCCATCCAGCCCACCTCTGATTTTCCATAATTGCAGCCCAGTTTTGGGATGTGAGAGAGCCCTAGGCAGGCCACCTCTTTTCATACCGTGCCAGGCATCCCAAAGCCTGCCATGTGCCACCAGCAATCCCTGCTGAGATACTCACTTCCAGGTCACCTCCAGGCTGAGTTTGAGGGTGCCCAAGTCATTGATATCCACAGCTACTACCTGAGGTAGAGCTGTAAAGAGGTCCTTGGTCTCGCAGGACACATTGCCCACCACAACATGGTTGGCCAGGCTCTTTAGCTCCGTCACCTGGAGAAGGAAAAGGAGGAGAGGAAGAGACAAGTCATGGGCTCTGTTTTATACATGCTGTTTGCATCCATGTGTTGTGCCAGGATTCACCACCACCAGATGTCCTCCTCCCACCCCATATGGGCTGAGGTTGAGGTGAGGTCCTGGAGGGAAGCCCTGCAGGGTGATAGCTGGCCCACATCATTCCTTGCCCCCTTCTGCACGGTACCTTGATGGAGAGGAACTCGGTGACAAGGGGCAAGAAAACCATTTCCTCGCTGTCCCACACCTGCTTGCTGTTCACCTCAATGCGGCCACGCAGCTTCCACCTCTGCCGTCCGTACTTCATGAAGATCTGGGGGTGCAGGGGCATAAGAATGGGGGAGACACATCACTGGGGTGATGGGTGCTCTCTGTGTGTCCCCAGGCATGGCCAGAGAGCCATGCTACCCAGCAATGCCCTGCAATATGCCCTTCACACCAGCGCCCACCTATGCCCCCCAGACATCCCAAGGACCACAGGGAAAGAGAAGAGCAGATCCCAACCCATACAGTCCCACCAACCTCATACTGGTCACCAGCACAAAGCCGGGCAAAGCCTGCAAGTCCTGCAAGAGAAGGTAGAGGGGCATGAGCAGGCAGCAGGCAGGCAGGCAGTGGGCCAGGAATGGAGTGGGGCACGTTACCTTTCATCCGGACATGGAACTCTCCCAGGTGGCTCTCCAGCTCATTCTCCAACAGACACATGTTCTAGGGACAGAAGGATAGGCAGCACCCATCAGCAGCCACCCATGGGACCCAGCACCCTGCCAGCCCAGCCCAGCACTATCTTACCTCCGTGTACTCCTTGTAGCCCTTGCTGGCCTCGGCCAGGCTCTCACGTGCCTCCCGGCTGCCCGGTGAGCCAGTGCTGTAAGCCTTGACCATGTTGTGGGCTCCATCACGGAGCCGCCGTTGGATGCAATAAGCCTCATAGAGCTCATCTATCTGCAAGGACAAGCCCGAGCTGTGGTGATGGGCAGGGCAGGGAGCACAGCATGGCCATCCCAGTGCTGCACCAAGGTGATCCTGGTCCCTACCTCTCACCTTACTAGCATGAAACTCCAGGCGACGCAGGAAGCGCTCGATTGACTTCACTTGCTGGAAAAGCAGAGGAGATGATGTGAGCAGCAGCACAACCCCTCCACAGAGGAGCTGCAGGCCAGGATGGGCCCTGCTGCCTGTGCTGTAGCTGGAACAGGTCCTGGCCTCCTGGCCTCCTGCCCTCCTGCCCTGCCTGGCAGTGAGCAGAGGCTGTGCTTGCACCCGTGTGCTGCAGCATCCTCCAGCCTTCTCTACTCCAGAGGGTCACCCAGGATACAATCCAGGCTCCAGGGTGCTCTTCTCCCATCTTCAGAGCTAATCCAGTCTCAGCACTCACGAGCAACAACTTCCGCTTGCAAGAAGCAGGTTACAAGCCCCTGCCTGCCTCTGCTCCATCCCTGCCCAGACCCACCATGCCCATAGAGCCCCATCACACCCCACAGGCTACAGAGCAGTGCAAGCAGAGAGGGGCTGGCAGTAGCACATCCTGACTGTTAGGATGGGGGAGAGAAAGGGGAGGGGGTACTGATCCCTCTTACCTTATCCAGATCGTAGAGAAAGCCCTGGAGGAGAGAGGAGAGGGATAAGATGCAGCACAAAGCCAGTTCTGCCCATCCAAGGAGACGCAGCACGTTGCACCCACCACCCATAGCATGTCCAGCACCCAGTCAGGGCTGGGGAGTGCATGACAGTAGGACAGCCCTAAAACAGAGCCCAGACTGGCCCCTAACATCTCCACAGAAGGGATACAGATGGACCATGAGCTGCCCTGGCTGTGTCCATCATCTGCCCAAAGCAGCATGCCCTATAAGGGTCTTCCCAAGCAACACTCACCAGGCGTGAATTCCTCTTGGACTCACGGATCTGGGTGCTGAGCTTCTCCAGTTCCAGCTGGTGCACCTCCAGGTAGGCTCTGGGGGCAACCACACCATGGGGTCATGCTGGGGTGTCATGTTCAGGGATCTTGTCACCCACTGCCCACACCAACCCACCATGACTGGCCCTGCATCCTCACTCCCTGCTGCAGCACTCAGGCAAGGGAGCCCATGTGTGCCGCTACATGGGATGTGGTGGGATGTGGGACCCCACACAGCTCTAGGACTGCACCCAGAAGACCTGGCACGTCCCTGCCTGGTGAGAGTAGAGAGCTGCCAACCCCAAGTCACATGGCAGGCTGTCCCCGTGGTCCTCAGGAGCTCCCTGCCTCCTACTACCCAGCCATAGGGAGCCACAGCACTTACGTCAGGCCCTTCTTGAGAGCTTCGTACACCTCGTCCAGGCGGTTGGGCTGAGGCACCTTGGGTGGTGGGGATTTGTGGGACATTGAGAACATCCTACTGACCCTGGAGCCAGTCTTGCGGGAGATGGTAGGGGTGAAGGGCGAGAGGTTCCTGAGGAGAGAGGCAGGCAAATGGGGGTGGCTGGGGTTAGCACACAGCACCGGGGTCCTCCTTGGTGCCCCAGCCTGCTGAGCACCTTGTCTCAAGACAAGAAGGAGGTTTGGGATGGAGGCCAGGTTGCCCAGATCTGCCTGCCTCTCCCAGGACTCTTGGTCTAACCAGTGGGACTGGGTGAGACAGGGCCGTGAGGCTGGGCAGTGCAGCCTGCATAGCCAGCATGCCTGCAACCCCCCCAGTGCATTGGCTGCCCCAAAGCCATGGAAGGACAAGGAGAAACCCCACAGAAAAGCTGGCAGTGGTGAAGAGCAGAGAGGTCAGACTGTCCCAGCAGGATCCAAGAGGCAGGCTATGGGGTAGTCTCTGAGAGGTGTGGGGGTGCCAGGTTGGGAGGAGCAAAAACAAATGGAGCTGGGAGCAGCTGGAGCCGGGCTGTGTGCCCAGAGTGCCCGTGGAGACACCTTCAGCCCTGGCCACCCTCTGAAGGGGCCATGTTATGCTCCAACCCAGCACTCCAGGTTGCCAGACCTATGCAGATGTTCCCTGCAGTGCGTGCACTGTGACAGGGTGACACATGCCACCATCAGCTTGTTGACCTGCTACGACATGCTCCCAGGGACAGGCAAGGATGCCAGTGGGTGGCAGCACAGGAGCATCCTGCAGACAGGCAGCCCTGGCACCCCATCACACAGTGCAGGACGTGGGGCAGGGATATCCTCACGGATGCTACACCTCTACAGATGTCACCAAACTCGCAGCACAGAGCTGCCCACTAAAGGATGCCGACCCAGCACTGGGCCCCAAACACCACCCTTCCTGCCTTGTGCAACGGAGTCACTCCCAGCCCAGCAAGCAACTCCCCTCTCCAACCAACTCTTCCATTCTTTCTCCCAATGCATGGGAGCCCAGGAGACACCATGGACTCCTCAGCTCCCAGCCCTGGACTGGACCTCCCATCCTGTGCTGCTCTTTGCAGGAGGAGCCACAAGAGTTCACCGAATCACTGGTGGGGGGGAAATTAATATCTTGGTCTCTTCCCAAGCCAGTGGGTACTTACTGGCTTGATTTCCACCTTCCCTCCTCATTTCTGTTCTCCAGGGCTCCAAAGGCATCACCCATAAACATCTGCCCACTAGCCACTTAATCTCTCTTCCCTGTCTCCAAGCAGGCCCCTCTGGCAGCTACAGATCTAGTGATGTGCTGGTGGTCTGGAAAGTGTCACTTGGCCCTGAGGCTGGACAGAACCTGAGGACAGGAGCCAAGCAGGACTGGAAGTCTGCTCCTAGGCAGGGGGAGGCTCTAGCTGGGCTTGTGCCCACCCAGTGAAGGTGCCCATAGGCTGGTAAGGTAGCATGGCACTGCTTTCCCCAGCCAGTGGGTGCACTGGGAGGTAAAAAGGCTGGCTGGGTGCTAGGAGAAGGGATTAAAAGCATTAAAATGCCACAGTCCTGCAACCCAAAGCCATGGAACACCCCTCTCTCAAGAACCACTGCGAGAGAATAGCCAGGAGCTAGAGATGGTGCAGAGGAGGGTGGTGGGGATAAGCAGTGCGTGGGATGATTCTCACCAATGTGAGGTTCAGCAGAGAGGAGGAGGAGGAGGAAGGGGATGGTGGGACCATAACATGATCAGTGGCCAGACAGGATGAGGAAGGACCGGCTGCTCCTGGCAATGCAGCTGATGGGCAGCCAATAAAACCTTTCAGCAACAGGTTTGAAGTGACCTGGAGGAACCTCTGATTCCCACCAGCACTCAAACCCCAACCCGGCCACTGCAGAATGTTCAGGCCATCAAGACACAATGCTTCAGAGGCACCTCAGCTCCTTCACTGCATCATTAAACATGATGAGATGGTCACAGAGAGGCTCTTCAAAGCTGGTAGTGAGCTACACTGCCCCTCTGTGCTCTGGTGGTGTGGGCTGCAGGGTCCTCACCAGCCTGGGACACAGTACAGTGGAGGGTTCAGGTGATGGGCTCTCCCTGCTGTTTGACCTCGATGCTCATTGCAGCCCCCACCATGCAACATCCCCTGGGTACCACAAGGGTCCCTTGAGGAAGACGCCAGGACAGCAGGTTGGGAAGGTGCCTTGGATGCACAGCAGGTCCCACCACCTCCCCCTGCCCAAGCCTGTCCCCATCTCTATACCTCATGTTAGGCAGCATGAGCATCCATCTCCTACCTGAAGGGCCGGTCAGCTGTTGAGTTCACTCCAGCAAAGGACTGGCTCCTATTGATCTTGGCGATGAGGACTCGGCGCTGCGGGCGCACAGACAGTGACATCGTTGAGTGTGACCTGGAGGGCCTCCCTGGGGGCAGAAGAAAGGGGTGTCACCAGCAGCAGAGTGGGGAAACACACACAAGCACCCATGGGCTGGGAGCCCTCCCACCTGCTCAGCCCAGGGACCCTGCTGGTGGCACTGACGGGACCTTGCTGTTCCTAAGTGACACTACAGGTGCCCTGCCTTGGGTGAAGCAGGGCTGTGAACACTGTGAGCACTCAGCAAGGACAGACAGGGACCTGCGCAACATGGTCTAGTGTGAGGCACCTCTGCCCGTGGTAGGGGGTTGGAACTAGATTATCTTCAGGTTCTTTCTGACACAAACCATTCTGTGATTCTACGATTCTGGGTCCCAGGTGGGCCCCATGGGAGCCACAGGAAGGCTGATGCCTAACGCCTTCCATGGCCCTTCCCAGACATAAACACGGCAAACTCTCTGCTGTGGCCCTGCCAAACCCCTGCCTGCTAGACACCTCGTCCCATGTCCCGCTGTCGCCTGTGCCACCCGCAGCAGGGGCAGGAAGGGTGTGGGGCTGGATCCGCCTGCCTAGCCCTTCACTGTCTCCACGCTCGCTTCCAGTGAGACTTCAGCAACCAGGAGGGAAGCCCATGGACAACAAAGTGCTTTGGAAAGTCCCCAGCCTTGCTAGGAGCTCTGTGTCAGGAAGGAAACGCCAAGCCATTCCCTACCAGACCCTGGAAAGGCCACACAGGCAGCACGTGTCCAGCCCCATGGCTGCTGCAGCCCTGCCCTCTGCTCCTGGTGCTGCCAGAGACCCAGCCAGGCTCCCTGCAGTCACTGCTGGTGCCTGCATGCCTCTGCCATGGCCAAGACCCATCAGATTTCTGAGCCTTGGGGCCTGGACCTGGCTGCCACCTTCTGCTCCTCTCTGGGGAGAACCCCCTGCAGTCCTTCATCCAGCTCTGGGGCAACACTACACGAAGGACATGGAGCTGTTGGAGTGAGTCCAGAGGAGGCCACAGAGATGCTGTGAGGGCTGGAGCAGCTCTGCTCTGGAGACAGGCTGAGAGAGCTGGGCTGGTTCAGCCTGCTGAAGAGAAGGCTCCTTAAGGGGAGACCTTAGAGCAGCTCCAGTGCCTAAAGGCGCTACAAGAAACCTGGAGAGGGGCCTTGGACAAGGGCCTGTAGGGACAGGACAGGGGGGAATGGCTTTAACCTGACAGAGGGGACACTGAGATGAGCTCTTGGGCAGAAGTTCTTCCCTGTGAGGGTGGTGAGGCCCTGGCACAGGGTGCCCAGAGAAGCTGTGGCTGCCCCATCCCTGACAGTGTTCAAGGCCAGCTTGGATGGGGCTTGGAGCAACCTGGTCTAGTGGAGGGTGTCCCTGCCTTTGGCAGGGGGGGTGGAATTGGATGAGCTTTAAGGTCCCTTTCAACCTAAACCGGGCTGTGATTCTGTGAACACAGGGAGCATTCCTGCAGGCCAAAGCCCAAAGCAAGAGCAGGGGGATTGGGAATCCTCCTGGCCCTGCCACCCCCAGCAGTGCCAGCTGGGCACATGGAGGAGCCCATTCCACAGGGCTTGACACCAACTCAGTCCCTTTGTCCCTGCCAACCTCCTAAAGCCGAGTTGCGGGCCTGGGAGCCAGGAGCTGACAGGTATGATCCCACACTGTGCCCGGCAGTCACATAACATGCCAGGGAAGTTCAGGCAGGGTGCTCAGACACACAGCATCCCAGCTGCCCACCCCAGCATGGCCAGCAATGAGGCCCAGCCCTAGTAGCACCAGGGACCACACAGGGATGCAGGCATTGCCCTGCATCCCACTGCTATCCCCATTCCTTCCTCTGGCACAACAGGAATAAGCCCAACTCAAATCAGGACAGACCTGCTCAGCTGCTGGTGGGCACTGCTCTGGTGCTGTGCTACTCAGTGTCCTCCAGCCATGCTGTCACCTCCCTGCACACCAGTCTGGGACAGGCATTCACAGCACCCAGGATGAGCCAGGGGTCTGGAGTCAAAGCCAACCACCACCAAGAACCTCTATCCCAGCAGAACTGGGATTCAGCAGATCCATCTAGATCTTCCTTGGCACTCGAGTCCTAGCACAGCACCAAGGAGCTGCTTGGTGTGTCCCACTGCCTTGGTGTTATCCTGGTGCTAGTCCATCTAGTTTCCAGGACAACGCTGTCCCAGTTAAGCTCATTATAAGAAGCTGTAATCCCTGGCAGCCAAACTGACCTGCAGGGCCTGGGCAGATTACCCTCTGCAGGGCTCTTTAATCTGCTCCCCACTGAGCGAGCAAGGCCTGTGGCACCGGTGCTTGTGGCCGCAGCTGGGCATTACAGCCAACCATCTATAGGGAAAGGAAAGCACCCACCACCCCTGAGACCATGCGCTCCACAAGTGGAGCAGGTCAGAGCTCCTACAGGGTGAGCACAGCCCTGCCAGACCATTCTTCTCCAATCCATGTTACAGTCTGGGGACACAGAGGGCTCAAAAGAGGGAGCCCACACAGGGCAAAAGGATATGAGAGCATCACAGGGTATCTCAGGGGGACAAGGATGCTGGAGGGGCTGCAAGGGACCAATGCCCCTGCACAGCTCCACAGGAGAGCCAGAGCAATCCCCAGCCACTCACCCAGGCACCTTGGAGGCTGGGTTGTGCTCCAAGGCCGCCGGGGCTCCTGGGCTGGCACAGGAAGCAGTGCCATGAGCCTGCTCACAGGACCCCACTCTCCCCCAAACACCCCCCAAACCCCACCAGCAGCCGGTGGATGCAGACCTGAGTCAGCAGCAAGAGATGGCACAGCCCAGTGCCAGGTCCTGCGAGCACCAGCCTATCTCCACAGCACCCTGCAATCCCTGGTCAGCACCCTGCAGCTCACCCCCTGTGTCAGAACCCCAAAGCCCCTTCCAGAAGGAGAACACAGGCAGGCAGGAGCTGGGTGCCAGAGGGCAGCGCTGCCTGCATGAGGCAGGGTATGCAGGCTGTGGGGTCTCCACTACTGGCACGCTGGGCTCATAGTGGAGGGAAAAACCCCGGCATGGTGCATTCCTGACATTACCAAGATAAGAGGTACCTGGTACGGGCAGCACAACCATTCCCATGGTAAGCAGAGCCTGGGGTACACTTGGAAGGGGCTGCTGACCACCATGTCTCACCCAGGCTTACCGGGAAGCTGGCACTGCACACAGCACTGGCACAGTCATGTCCCTGCCATGTGCTGAGCCCCAAACACATCCCTCCCTCTCCTGAGAAAGAGCTCCATAGGTCTTGCCCCAAATGTCCAGTCCCTGCTACCCCCACCACCCTCAGACCTTAATTAGGACCTTGGTGCTAACAAAGCTGCCTCCCAACCAAGCTTTTCACCTTGCTGTGCCTGCGCTGCAATCCCAGGAATCCGGCTGTTTGTGCGTGCTCGGCCAGCGCTGCCTGTGGGCACTGGCCAGGAGGACAGAGCAGCACCCAGATGTGGGCAACTGGATGGGCAGCACGGCACAGGGTGCTGGAGCCCACCCCGGGGCTCCCCAAGCCCGGCTGCCGGCTCCCTCCTCTCTCCTACTCCTGGTTCTCTGGAGATGATTGGGATCCTAAGAATGCTGGTCGGAGTGGTGGAGGGGGCAGTCCGACCGGCTGGGTTGGTCCCAGCTGGTTTCTGTTTCCGACACTCAGACACCAGCCTCAGGTCGCTATGGCGGGTTTATCAACACTGCCCTGGTCGGAGACACCCCAGACTGGCTCCCCCTGAGCCTCCGGCCTCAGCCCTGGGACCAGCATCTCCAGTAATATCACTCACCGAAGGACAACAATGCATGGGATGGCCAAACCACCACCCCTGACCCCGGGAAGCAACGCCCACAACCAGCCAGCAGCACCCCAAGAGAGGCTGGGCTGTTGTCCCCACACTGATGGGCCTGTGGCCACCTCCCCAGCCACAGTGAGGTACCAGTGTACCCAGTGAGGACACAGCACAGCAGCCATGGGCTGGTCTATCCTGCCTGCGGTGTCTGTGTCAAGCTGGGGTCCCACCACCCCACACCAGCAGCATGATCCTTGGGTGAGCCTTGGGCGCATGGTCAGGATGACCTCGGGAGCCTGTGAATTTGTCCTGCGGCACAGCCCGGCCACTGCATCCGTGTTTGCACAGCTGTGTCCCCACTGCCCTGACCCAGGCCCCCTGCCAGCCCTTTCCGGCCCCAGGACAGCGCTTGGCCAGCTCTTGGTGTGGGCTGAAGCAGCTCTTCCCTCCCACCACCTCTCATCCCTCCTGGGCATGCAGGACACAAGCATCCAGGGACACACGCCATGGTCACAGGGAGCCTGGGAGCCACCTTTTCCCTGACCTCCTCACACTCTGCCTCTCCTCCAGGCAGACATCCTCCAGGGCCGGCTGAGGAGGGGGACTGGGGATTTTGGGGAATGGGATGAGTCAGTGAAGGGAATCCCAGCTCCTTGTTACTCACCCAGGAGAGAAACTCCCGGCCATAAAGTTGCAGCCCCAACCAGAGCAGGGGATGGTGGTTTGGGGGCTGGAGGGGTACTGGGGCCATGGCAGCAGAATCCACCCTCACAGCTGTGGGAGGCCACTGGCTCCTTGGGCCAAGTGGGAGGGCGGCAGGAAAGGGAAGGAGCTGCGAATGGGAAGAATTGGAGGAAGTGCTTATTTACCCCACGGAGTATCCCTGAGGAAGGGCAGGGCATGGCGCAGGCAGACACTCACAGCCACCTCTCCGCCTCCCACCCCACCACCCATCCCATGGGATCCCATTAACAGAGTAGTCTGCAAGCCCCAAACTGTGACCCAAGGACATGGCCACTGCTGGAGCTGGGGGATTCCCCAGTGCCTTGTTGAGCTCAAGCCCTGTTTTCTAGGACAGCTCCTGAGAACCAGCCCAGGACGACCATGGTCCCAGTGAAATGCGTCCCCCACGACCAAAGGCACAGATCAAGCACCCAGCCAGGATCCAATGGCTTTGGAGGCCCTACCAGATGGGACTGCAGCCTCACACGGGGACAAGACCCTTCTCCTGAGTGGGCTGTGACCCCTCTCATAGACGCTGAG